ATATGTGAGAAAATATCGATTGATATTGGCATATAATATGTGAGAAAATATCGATTGATATTGGTATTTATTATATCAAATCGATTGTTCGAGTAGTGCAGAATACATTTTATCAAAAAATATATCAGTCACAACAGAAGGAACAGAAATCAACGCCTATGTTAACGAGTAAAGGTTTCTGGCACACAGCAGCATGATTGATGGTCAACTCTTGACCCTTCAAATCTATTGAACATGCCAATATTTTTCCAAAATAATATTTTATGAATCGAATAACTTCCACTTAATCTATTTTAGTAACAAGGAAGGAAAAATTTTACAGTTTGACAAATATTTGAAGACTAGTGTTGAACATCAAAAATGCTGCTGTGTGCCAGAAACCTTTACTCGTCAACATAGGCGTTGATCTCTGTTCGCTCTGTTGAGATTGATATATTTTTTGATAAAATATATTCTGTACTACTCGAACAATCGATTTGATATAATAAATACCAATATCAATCGATATTTTCTCACATACTGCAAAAATATTCCGGCCTTCTTTAGTAAAGGCTATTGAAATTAAATCGATCCTTTAGGTTAATTCCCATTTTTTGAGTTTTTATTTCAAATATTTATTCATTTTGAGAATTATTAATTGTGTTTTACTAATTCTAGCAATTTCTAGTGCATTCGGACCTTTATTTTCTATAAAAAGGGTGATTTTCTGAATGTTAGGTGTACTGAACAAATTTTTAACAATTTTGATCGATTTTACCGATTTTTTTCAGAAATTTTTATCTGTAAATGATTTCATCGGTGCTTAGTTTACATAATTTAACTAATTTAGAGAGCTTTTTTAAAAAATATTTTCAAAAAATGCAGTGAAATAAAAATTCACACAATGTTTTAATTATATGGCCACTTCAAAGTCGATGTATTTTCATAAAAACCGTTATTTATGGAACAATTGCATGCAATAATTTTCTATTTTCACACTAAATTTCTTAAGTGCAGTATATCGAAGTGTTTTGAATTAAAAAATGTTCAAAAATACTTCAAACGAATCGAGGGCTGATCAAAAAATTTTTCCACAGTAAATGTTTAAATTACGTGACCACCACTGTATATTGTCGTATGTACTCGGATGTGGGAGTTACACGTTAATATTTACAGGTGCTTACGAATTCATATATTATCTAGTCACCCATTACCACACTAGAGGGCGGAAATATAGCGCTGATCACTTTGAAATTCTTCATGAGGATATGGTCAAGGATAACGCCTATAATTTTCGGTGATGATCTGATAATAATATTGGGATAAAGTGGACCGAAAACTTAATTTTTTGTGAAAACTTAATTTTGTGTGATTCAAAAAGAAGCACGATGTGTGGCACCCAAACACCCAAACCAATTAACAAAAAAAAAATAGGATGGATCGAATTTCCAACTGCGAAGCCTTTACCAAACGGAATGAAATAGACCCATTTCTTAAAAGGATGGTGACTGGAGATGAGATATGATACCCTACACAACTTCCACGAAAATCTAACTTTCTGTGGTTGTATAATCTGAGCTTGGGCAATATTTCGCGATATTTGCACTCTCTTGACCGACTAGATGTCAACAAATATTTCTAATATTCAGTAGACGAGGGCTGTACTTGTCCCGATTCTCTTTACCGCGGGTTATGTTGTCATGTTGGGCTTTCAATTTTGGCCTATAGATCGATTCAAAAATACAAAAAAATATGTTTTCGGTTCACTTCATCCCAAAATTATTATCTGATCATCACCGAAAATTATAGGCGTTGTCCATGACCATAACGTGAATCTCATGGAAATTTTCAAGCGATCAGCGTCATATTTCCTCCCCTCTAGTGTGGTAATGGGTTACTAAATAACATATATAAATACGTAAATACCTGTAAATATTTAAGTGTAACTCCCACACTCCCGAATACATACGACAATATAATTAGTATCAATGTAAAGGTCAACCACTCCTCTTGGATACACTATCAACTTCTTGGGTCTATATCCTTCAGAAGTATATATATATATATTTATATACCCCATAGAATACAAATTGTGTAATTTTTCACACAAAAGTCACGATCCATTTGACCCGCTAAATATTGACCGATCTTTATCAAAACAGGCATGCTTATTCTTTGGCCCAATTCCCTTCTCCATGTAAAAATTCGAGATGTTTGGGCAATAATTGCGGGCTCCAAAGGCAAAAATCGACAAAAATTCAGTATTTGGTCCATTTCATTCCCTAAATATTAACCGATCTTTACCAAAAACAATAGGGGTATTCATTGGGCCGAACCCATCCGACATGCAGATTGGTCCATAACTGTAGTCTGTATCGTGTTTACAAATTATAATGGACAGACGGACGGACACACATGTCTAGATCGACTCAGCTAGTCGATATATGATGATCGGTATACTTAAAAGGTGGGTCTAGGACCTATATTTCGCGGTGTTACAAACTCGTAGGGCTGCACAAAGCTAAAATACCCTGACAACATAGTTGTGTAGGGTATAATAATGTCATTATAAATTTTCTTCTTTAATGATGTCATATTCTTTAAAAATCCACGCCTATATAGGGTTCTTTAAAAAATATTCGGAACAACTCTTGTTTAGTAAACACGATCAGATTTTTCTGAAATTTTTTCTACAGGTAGATATTTTTCCCTAATTATGGGGATATATTTTTTCTTGGGGGACGTACCCGGTTATTTGACCCGGATGTTATATTCGGTTCTACGGATCCCATCTTAAAAGTTATAAAAATTCCTTTCCATTGAGTGGTAACATGATGTAGGGTTCTAAGGCCCATATCTTTTGATCCACAACAGATACATCCACATATCGCACCATTGGAGAGGGCAAATTATGGTCTATCATTTGAGTCTAGGTTGGGGAGGGACTATAATGGACCCAAGTTCGACTTTTAGGGAGTTTTTCAAAAAAAAAAATCGGGGGCCAAAACCCAGTTCTTCGACTATATCTCCAAAATGGCTTGATTTTTATAACCATTAAAATGATACCCATATTATATTAACCGGATCCGTAGAACCGGATATAGCCGGGTACCCGTTCCCGAACTTCCGGGTCAAATAACCGGGTACGTCCCCCCAAAAAAACAAAGATATCCCCATAATTAGGGTAAAATACATACGTCTGGAAAAAAAAATCAGAAAAAACTGATCGTTTTTACTAAACTAGAGTTAAGCCAAATATTATATAAAAGTCCGCGCCTATATAGGGTCCTTTAAGAAAATATTATTTAAAAATCCACGCCTATATAGGGTCCTTTAAGAAAATATTATTTAAAAATCCACGCCTATATAGGGTCCTTTAAGAAAACATTATTTAAAAATCCACGCCTATATAGGGTCCTTTAAGAAAATATTATTTAAAAATCCACGCCTATATAGGGTCCTTTAAGAAAATATTATTTAAAAATCCACGCCTATATAGAATCCTTTAAGAAAATATTATTTAAAAATCCACGCCTATATAGGGTCCTTTAAGAAAATATTATTTAAAAATCCACGCCTATATAGGGTCCTTTAAGAAAATATTATTTAAAAATCCACGCCTATATAGGGTCCTTTAAGAAAATATTATTTAAAAATCCACGCCTATATAGGGTCCTTTAAGAAAATATTATTTAAAAATCCACGCCTATATAGGGTCCTTGAAAAAATATTCTTTAAAAATCCACACCTATACAGTATACTTTATAAAATATTATTTAAAAATACACACCTATACAGTATACTTTATAAAATATTATTTAAAAATACACACATATATAGGGTCCTTTATAAATCATTCTTTGAAAATCCTCGCCTATGTAGGGTCCTTTCAAAAAAAAATTTATTAAAAAATCCAAGCCTATATAGGGTCCTTTAAAAATATTACTTAAAAATCCACGCCTATATTTTTTAAAGATTATTTAAAAATTCACAATTATATAGTAGCAATGTCCGTCCATAATTTAAAAACAATGCCTGAAACATCGCGCTCCCTATTGTAGCAGTCTGACCAAGAATATATACTTTGTGGGATCTACGGTGACGATATAATTGTAGAAGTCCATATCAGTGAGATCCATACAGTCAAAATCGTTTATAAGGACACCGTTTGTAACGACATATCGCTTATAACGACCATTTTCGACTGTAATTGTTTTTTGGTTCACTGGTGCGTATGATTTTTAACATTACTTATACACTACATGGTTCAATTTGGGGGGACAATTTTTTTTAAGTTTTTCATTTTTTTTTAGAAAAATACAGATCTAAATTTAACAATTTTATAATAAATATTATTTTTATTTAATTTTGTAATTTCTTAAACATATATGTATTCAACTGTACACTTAACAAAAAATTATTAAATTTATGAATAAATTATCTAAACTACTACAATAAATAGCAAAAAAAATACAATACTTATTAATAGACAATGTTTGACAAATAAAAAATAATGAAATACAAAAACAAAATATTACAACAAACATCAATCAAAGTTTCTTAAATAATACATTTAATTTGGAATTTCGTATAGAATATCTCATATCAAATCTGGAGCTGTTCTTTTTTTGTGTACGACTTTTTGAAAACTTTCTCCTTTATTCTCGATATTTTATGCATTGCTATTGTTTGCAGCAAACAGACAAAAACATATGTAAGTGTGTCACGGTACATGGTGTCTCCTTTCGCCTATGCACCCCGCTTTCTCTTCGTGTTTGTGTGTGTTTCAAATTTGATTACATTTGGCTGAATGTTGTTGGTTCTTTTGTAAAGTCCTTCGTTCGCTCAAACACACCACAGGGCGACTTAGTGGGCAACGTTTTCCATTCCATCTTTTGCCCCCAAAAACTATCTTCAAATTTGCATTGCAAGTTGAAATTTCCGGCATTTTGCTAAAAACCCATAGCCCATTCATGCACGGCACACATAACATTGTTACGCTTTATCGCTGCTGTAGAACTTTATCCACGAAATATGGCCACATGATTGGGCGGTGGCCTTTGTTTGCAAATACGTTTGCATGTTAAGCGCCAAAAGGCTGTACGGAAGTCCGGATTGTAGAAAGCATAGATGAATGGATTGATGGCACAGTTTACCCATCCGACCCAGGTCAAAAACGACATTAACCCCTCCGAGACATAGGCCGGCGGCAGGAACGGTATCAGCAGATAGTAGACAAAAAATGGCAACCAGCAGGCAATGAAGCCACCCATAACCATGGTAAGGGTTTTGGCGGTTTTCGTATCACGTTTTGTTGTTGAAACTCTCATTGGGACACGATGATGATGATGATGGTGGTGGTGATGGGCATGCGGATGATGACTGCCATTCAAAGTCGCTGCCGCCTGTTGTGATCTCTCCTGTAACTGACCATTTGATAGGGTATATTTTCCCGACTGTACGGCCATGGCATGAGCCAAACATGTCTCCGAGAATGACGACCGGCTATCGCTACAGTGTAACTGCTGCATAGGCAAGGTGGCTGCCCTTCCCTCTGCCAAAGCATAACTTACAGAACTATTTGCCGGCGTACAACTACCATCACCGTATTTACAATTGATCGATGTGCATGGTATTTGTGTAGATAGACGTGATATCTCCACCAGCTCATAGAATGAAGCCTGATGTTTCAGACTATCACGATGTACATAGTTTTTATTACATTTACTACATTTCAAACTGTTCTGTTTACTATTTGACGAACTGCCATTTGTTGTTGTCTCCACCGTCCAGCGTGACTTAAACGAGGGGAATTTTTGTGGTCCACATTGAAAATGCTCCGATTCAGAGAGAAAATTATCACAGTCGATATCGTGGTCAGCCGTTCGTTCGGAATTCTGAAAAGGGGAAATAGAAATACTATTAATTCAAAAGATCTTCTTGGTATATAAGAACTTCAGAAGGTCTTCTACTCAAAGAAGAACTTCCAATTGACTCCTGGAAGAGCGTCTTAATTTTCTAGTGCTACTATGCTACCTATAGAAAAGCTTCGAAAGATCTTCTTACCCTCGAAGTACTTCAACAATTTCTATAGCTACAGAAGACTTTCATAAGCCCTTCTAGATATAAAAAATCCATTTAGATTTATCGATCATTAGCTGCCTATGGAACAGCATCTCAATTTTCTAGTGCTACTATGCTACCTATAGAAAAGCTTCGAATGATCTTCTTACCATCGAAGTACCTCAACAGTTTCTATAGATACAGAAAAACTTCATAAGCCCTTCTAGATATAGAAAATCCATTTAGATTTATTGATCATTAGCCATTAAAAATAGATTTAGAACTTCACAATAGATTCTAGGTATATGGAAAACCTCGGGAGGTTTCCAGCTATGCAACAGCGTCGTCTTGGTCTTCTAGCTTCAAAACATCTTCTAGAACTTCAGATAGCCGTATGGTTATCGGAGAGCCCTGATACCTCTATACCACTTTAATTGGTATCTATAGAAGAGCTTAAAATACCTTCAGAATGTTTTCTGGCTAAAGAAGAACTTCAGAAGGTTTATGGCTATACAAGGGACTTAGATTAGGGAACAGCAATACAAAATATTGTTATAGAAGAGACTCATTCTGAGGCTCTACGATATCGGAGAGCCTCAGAATGTCTGCAGATATTGGCCACAAGGTATTCTATCTGCAGAAGAACATCAGAGTTCTTGTAGCTATAGAAGAACTTTAGAACTTCTTTACTAGAAGGCCTTCAGAATGTTTTCTGGCTAAAGAAGAACTTCAGAAGCTCTTTGGCTATGGAAGAGTCCCAGAAGGTTACCAAGCTATTGAAAAACTAATTATAAAAGAGCTTCACGAGATGGTCGTCTTGCTATCAGAGATCCTCAGAATGTCTGTAAGTATTGGTCAGAAAGTATTCTAACCATATATATTCTTAAAAAATATGTGCCTATATCTGGTCCTTTAAAAACATTCTTTAAAAATAAAAGCTTATATAGGATCCTTAAAAAATAAGCTTTAAAAATCCTTGCCTATATAGGTCTATTAATGAAAAGGGTCCTTCTATGAAAAGAGGAATTTCAGGTAGTTTTCTGGCTATCGGAGAGCCTTAGGACCTCTTTACTAGAAGACCTCCAGAATGTTTTCTGGCTAAAGAAGAACTTCAGAATGTCTTTGGCTATGGAAGAGTCCCAGAAGGTTACCTAGATATTGAATAGCTATTTATAGAAGAGCTTCACAAGATGGTCGTCTATCTATCTAAGAGATCCTCAGAATGTCTGTAACTATTTGGTCAGAAAGTATTCTAACCATAGAAACATTTGAGAAGTTCCTGTATATATGGAAGACCATCATCATATCTTTTAGAAGAATTTCAGTTAGTCTGCTGGCTGTCGGAGAGCCAATGGACCTCTTTAGATATTGTCTTCAAACTATAGAAGAATAAAAAACAAAGCTAGAAAAGGAAAAAGGTTCTGGCTAAAGAAGAACTTCAGAAGGTCTTTGGCTATGGAAGATTCCCAGAAGGTTACCTAGATATTGAAAAGCTAATTATAGAAGAGCTTCACGAGATGGTCGTCTTGCTATCAGAGATCCTCAGAATGTCTGTAACTATTTGGTCAGAAAGTATTCTAACCATAGAAACATTTCAGAAGTTCCTGTAGCTTTAGAATAACATCATAACATCTTTCAGAAGAATTTCAATTAGTCTGCTGACTGCTGGAGAGCCGCTGGAAGTCTTCAGCTATTGTCGGGTCCTTTAAAAATCTGTGCCTATATCGGGTCCTTTAAAAATATTCTTTAAAAATTAAAGCTTTAAAAAAATAAGGTTTAAAAATCCTTGCCTATATAGGTCCATTAATGAAAAGGGTCCTTCTATGAAAAGAGGAATTTCAGATAGTATTATGGCTATCGGAGAGCCTTAGGAACTCTTTAATAGAAGACCTCCAGAATTTTTTCTGGCTAAAGAAGAAGTTCAGAAGGTCTTTGGCTATGGAAGAGTCCCAGAAGGTTACCAAGTATTGAAAAGCTAATTATAGAAGAGCTCCACAAGATGGTCGTCTAGCTATCAGAGATACTCAGAATGTCTGTAACTATTGGTCAGAAATTATTCTAACCGTAGAAACATTTCAGAAGTTCCTGTAGCTTTAGAAGAACATCATAATATCTTTTAGAAGAATTTCAGTTAGTCTGCTGGCTGTCGGAGAGCCGCTGGACCTCTTTTGCGATTGTCTTAAAACTATAGAAGAATAAAGAAGGACTTCAGAAGCCTATTGGCTGGAAGATCCTCAAAATGTAATCTATCTGGAAAGCTAGAAAAAAGGTTTATAATGTCAATTTTCTAGCTATAGAAGAGTTTCAGAAGGTCTTCTATATATAGAAGTTTTTTTTAGAATGTTTTCTAGCTAAAACATACCTTCCGAATACATTCCAGATATCGATAGGCTTCAGAATATTCTTTAAATATAAAGTATATTTAAGAATATTAAGTATATTCCTTTAAAATCCACGCATATGTAGGACCTTTAAAGAATATTCTTAAAACAGTAAGGAAAGTAGTAAAGTCGGACTGGGCCGACTATATGATATCCTTCACCACTTACATATGTATCCGAACAGACGTCGCGTTTTCGTTATATATCTATATCTGATCCGATTTCAGGGAAGCTTGCTAGAGACTAATTTATATTACTTCAGTACTTTGTGTCAATCGGCCTAGCTATGGATCTTTTCACGAAGCTTAGCAACATAGACTTATTTTCGTACCCTATACCAAAATTCGAGCAAATCAAAAGATATATAGGGCAATTGGTGCACCAATTACAAAAAAAAACGGACGAAAATATATATGGGAGCTATATCTAAATCTAAACCAATTTTCACGAAACTTAGCACACATTATTCTGGACCTGATTCACTACTCTACGCCAAATTTCGTGCAAATCGAAAGATATATAGGGACTTTGGTGTCCCATTTACCTTAAATCGGACGAACATATATGGGAGCTATATCTAGAAACTTGGCACACATCATTCTGGACCTAATCCAATACGCTGTGCCAAATTTCGTGCAAATCGAAAGATATATAAAGTCCCTATTACCTTAAATCGGACGAAAATATATGGGAGCTATATCTAAATCTGAACCGATTTTTCCCAATTTTAATAGGGTTCGTCCTTGGACCATAAAGTGACTTGTGCCAAATTTCATCCAAATCGGATGATAAATACGACCTTTTGCCCGTTACAAACACATGCACAAAGACACAATACCCTCTACCACAGTGCGGTGCAGGGTATAAAAATCCACGCCTATATAGGACCCCATAAAAAAATATTCTTTAAAAATATGTGCCAATATCGGATCCTTTAAAAAATATGCTTTAAAAGTTCACGCATATGTAGGGTCCTTTAAAAAATATTCTTTAAAAATCTGTGCTTATCGGGTCCTTTAAAAATATTCTTTAAAAATCCAAGCCTATATAGAATCCTTTAAAAATCCAAGCCTATATAGGATCCTTTAAAATCCAAGCCTATATAGGATCCTTTAAAAATCCAAGCCTATATAGCATCTTTTAAAAATCCAAGCCTATATAGGATCCTTTGAAAATCCACGCCTATATTGGGTCCTTTAAAAATATTCTTTAAAAATCCAAGCCTATATTGGGTCCTTTAAAAATATTCCTTAAAAATCCAAGCCTATATAGGGTCTTTTAAAGAAATTCTTCAAAAATCCACACCTTTATGGGGTTCCTTAAAAAAAAATTCCTAAAAAATCCACGCCTAAATAGGGAACTTTAGAAAAAAAAACGATTCTTTAAAAATCCACGCCTTTATGGGGTCTCTTAAAAAAATCCTAAAAATCCACGCCTAAATAGGGCCCTTTCGAAAAAAAGATTTTTTGAAAAATCCACGCCTATATAGGGGCCCATTAAAATTCCTAAAAAATCCACGTCTAAATAGGGTCCTTTAAAGAAATTCTTTAAAAATCCACACCGTTAGAAAAAAAACGATTTTTTAAAAATTCACGCCTATATAGTGTCCTGAAATGATTTTCTAAAGGTTGGGAAATTTTTAAATTATTTTCTTCTTTATTCCCCAAACCTAAATTTTCTAAAATCCTCCTTCCACTTGCCATTGAAAATTCTCTTACGCAGAAAAAAATATGTTAGTGTCGTAAATTTTATTGCCAAGCAACATTTTCCAATTTATAAAAATCCTAAAAAATCCACGCCTATATAGGGTCCTTTAGCAAAAAAAACGATTCTTTATAAATCCACGCCCATATAGGGTCCTTTAGAAAAAAAACGATTCTTTAAAAATCCACGCCTATATAGTGCCCTTAAATGATTCTCTAAAGGTTGGGGAATTTTTAAATTAATTTCTTCTTTATTCCCCAAACCTAAAAACCAATTTCAATTTTAATTTTCTAAAATTCTTCTTCCTCTCCCCACCTGCCATTGAAAATTCTCATTACGCAGAAAAAAATATGTTAGTGTCGTAAATTTTATTGCCAAGCAACATTTTCCAATTTATAACACATTAATTTTCTTTTATTTTTTCTTTTCCCCACACCAAGCGAATCCCTACAACTACAAATTCCATCTCCCACACACAATCTCACACCTTGTATTCTCCAACACCGCAAAGTATTATCACACTATTAAAAAAGCGTTTCCTCCTAACGTATAATACATATTTTTATTTCCTCATAAAATTAATAGGGCCACTAATAATATTTACTGGCACAGCAGCACTTCTGACTGCAGAAAATATTCTGTCATTCCGTCAACAGGCAGCAAGCAGCAGAGGATTAGAATTGTCATAAACTATTGTCATTATTACTATTGTTGTGTGACAGCCACACATGTGTTAATAATAAGTGTCAAACGTGTCCCCGTACGTCGCTTTCTCCAAAATTTGGTTTGTTGAACACCAAAAATCTGTCATCCCCTACCCTCAGTTTTTCTGAAACTTACCGCATCTCTAACAATCCTTTGACGACGTGATGTCAAAACATAACCAATTTTCAAATAGACATACAGCATAACAGCGAGTGGTATAAAAAATGAACCCATTGCCGAAAATACCACGTAGCCTTTATTTTGATTGTAACGACAGACAGTGTTGCCATCCACACGCCGACCTGGTTCGTACCTGCAGAAAAAAATATTAAAAAGAGAAATTGGCTACATTATTTCGAATGCAGTTTTTTTATATTTTAATAAAATATAACATTGTTCCTCTATGACACTTTAGCTATTCTAGGAACGGAGCAGAACTTCAGATAGTCTTCTGACTATCGGAGAGCCTCTGGACCTCTTAAGCTATTGTCTTTACACTTTTCTGATTAAAGAAGAACTTCAAAAGGTTATTGGCTGGGAGATCCTAATAATGTGATATACCTGGAAAGCTGAACAAAGCTTCAGAAACTCGATTTTCTAGTTATAGAAGTGTTTGAGAAGGGTTTTTAAATGTTTTCGAATTAAAACTGAATTTCCGAAGATGTTATAAATATCGAAGAAACTCAGAATCGGCTTTAGATATTGAGTGGCTAGCTATAAAATGGCTTCAGTAGGTATTCAACCTATAAGACAACTTCAGGTGGCCCTCAAAAAATATTTTTAAAAATCTACGTTTTCTTTTAAATCTACACCTATATCTAGTCCTCTATGACCCTCTGAAATGTACGTCATCAAGTGGGCCTTCTAAAATTATAAAAAAAACGATTCTCGACTATGGGTCCTTAATGGAGCTCTAATATTCATTAAAAATAACTCACTTTAGCGACCCTCTAACATTCGTTAGAAAAGCTATGGAAGGGCTTCAAAAGGTAGCAAGTTATAGCTTTAGACAAGCTTCAGAAGATTTTTTAACTTAAGAAGAGCCTTTTTTTCGTATTGAGCGGTTAGCTATAGAGGAACTTCAGAAGGTTTTCTACCTGCAGAAGGTATTCAGTTGGTAATCAAAATGATTTTTTAAAATCAACACTTAAAGTTGTTCTCCGAAATAGAGTCTTTAAGAAATTAAAAATTGTAGAAGGCGCACGATGGTCCTTAAAAATTCGTTCCTCTTATAGTCGTTGAAAAATATAATATATTTAGCCTCAAAAATGTTATCTAGCTGGAGAAGAGCTCCACAAGGTATTCTAGATATAGGAGAACGTCTTCTAGTTATAGAAGAGCTTTAGAATGTCTTCTTGCTATGTTAGAGTATAAGAAAATCTTCTAAATATAAATAAGATAGAAGAGCTTCTAAAGTTCTATAGATCTTCTAGCTATAGAAGAATTTCAAATTTCTAAAATATCTGAATATAACATCCTCGTTTATGGTCAGGATAATAGGGATAAAAAATCATATACTTATCTTTATACCCTTCACCACACTGTGGTACAGGGTATTATGTCTTTGTGCATATGTTTGTAACAGGCAAAACTAATCGAGATAGACACATGGTTCCTTTTGAGAATATGCATAGAATCACTTTCTGAGTCGATTTATGCATATCCGTCCGTCCGCCTGTCTGTGCATTTTAAATAGTAAACAAAGTACAGGTCGCATTTATGATCCGAATTGGATGAAATTTGGCACAGCTCATTTGTTTGGCCCAAGGGCGAACCCTATTGAAATTGGGAAAAATCGGTTGAAATTTAAATATAGCTCCCATATATATTTTCGTCCGATTTAAGGTAAATGGTGTACCAAAGTCCCTATATATCTTTCGATTTGCAAAAAATTTGGCACAGCGTAATAAATAAGGTCAAGAATGATTTGTGAAAAGTTTCGTGAAAATCGGTTCAGATTCTGATATAGCTCCCATATATAGTTTCGTCCGATTTAAGGTAAATTGTATACCAAAGTCCCTATATATCTTTCGATTTGCACGAAATTTGGCACAGCGTAAGGAATAAGGTCTAGAATGACTTCTGCCATGTTTCGTGAAAATCGCTTCAGATTTAGATATAGCTCCCTTATATATATTCGTCCGATTAAAGGTAAATTGTGTACCAAAGTCCCTAAATATCTTTCGATTTACACGAAATTTGGCACAGCGTAATGAATTAAGTCTAGAATGATGTGTTTTAAGTTTCCTGGAAATCGGTCCAGATTTAGATATACCTCCCATATATATTTTCGTCCGATTTAAGGTAAATGTTGCGCCAAAGTCCCTAAATATCTTTCGACCTGCACGAAATTTGGCACAGTGTCCTGAATTAAGGCTAGAATGATGTGTGTTAAGTTTGCTGAACATCGGTCCAGATTTAGATATAGCTCCCATATATATTTTCATCCGATTTAAGGTAATTAGTACATCAAAGACCCTATATATCCTTCGATTTGCACGAAATTTGGCATAACGTACTGAATTGAGCCTAGAGTGATGTCTGCCAAGTTTCGAGAAAATCGGTTCAGATTTATATATAGCTCTTATATAGAGTTTTGCCCGATTTTAGGTAATTGGTGCACCAAAGTCGCTGGAAATCTTTTCATTCGCACGAATTTTGGCATAGCGTAGAACGATGTGTGCAAAGTTTCGTGATAATCGTTTCAGATTCAGATATAGCTCCCATACATATTTTCGTCCGATTTTATGTAACTGGTGCACCAAAGTCCCTATATACCTTTCGATTTGCATTAATTGTGGTATAGGGTACTGAATTAAGTCAAAAATGTTGTTGCTAAGCTTCGTGAAAAGATCCATATCTAGGCCGATTGACACAACGTACTGAAGTAATATAAATTAGTCTTTGGCAAGTTTCCCTGAAATTGGTACAGATAAAGATATATAACAAAAACGCGTCGTCTGTTAGGATACATATGTAGAATATACCCAAAGTGGTGAAGGGCATCATATAGTCGGCCAAGTCCGAATTTACTACTTTCCTCACTGGTTTTGAAATAACCTTCTGTATTTCAGAAAATAACACTGATTTAAATATTTTTAAAGACACTCTAAATATATTGTAAAAACTCTCTAAAAATGTCCTCAACTGTAAAACTCGATAAAAAAAGTATGTTTAGAATCCTCCAATATTCCTAGACTCCTTCAAAATTTTTTGAGTCCCCAAAAGTCGGCAGAAAATCGAAAACTCGTAAAAAATCCATGATAGATTCTTATCATGTATTATATAAAAAATCCACGCACTATTTGAGACTTCTAAAGTTCTGTACAAAAAATCCATGCCTAGGAACCTCCATAATTCTTTTCAAAGAATCGAGGCCTAGAAACCTCTATAATAAATAAAATCTACTCCTCGAGAAAACTCAAATTCTTTTAAAGAATTAATATCTAGAGACGTCTTTTCTAATAACCAACGCCTAGATACCCATATTTAAAAAAAAAATACGAACCCAAAATTTCCAAAATTACAAATTTCGTTAAATACACTATCAGTAGAGGCCGCTAAAATTCTTTAAAAAAAACCTCTCTAAAATCTTAAATCTCTAAAAAGTGTTTAAATTTATCTAGACATCTTAAAAATTCGGTTCGAACCGGCCGAAATTATTATTGGGGGCTCCTAGAAGAAAACTCATGTTATGTTAGAACAGTGAACATACCAAAAAAGACTTAAGAGAAATACGATTTAAAATCGCAATTATATGGGGCAATACGAAAATGCGATTCGATATTGGTAATTTTTAGTAGGGAGGTGTGGAGGTACTGTTATATGGGTGCTACCCTGAAACCATTATTAATTAATTTTTTTGTGCAAAGATATGCTATACAAAGAGAACCCAAAATACCAAATGACAACCAATTTGATTGAAGAACGTGTGTAAAATCAACAAAAGAACGAGCTTTGGGGGTGCCGTTATATAGGAGCTACACGTGGGTCGATATATCCCATTTGTCAAACATTCTAGGAATACTAGTAATGTCTGCGCAAAGTTTCAGAGCTCTATCTGAAATATTGCGATCTTAAATCAACATTGAATTTTATTGCGAATACGCATATGTACTTGTGTGGGGCCTCCTGTGAATGTTTCGAATAAATCACCTTTCGATCCAAACCAATTTAAAAAGAAAAAAATCATTAATAAATTAAACAATAGTAAATATAATAAAATTGAACCATTCAATATTTTGATAATCTCTTTTTTTTTATAATGTCCACAGTTATCATATTATTAGTCCATTACAAATAAGCGAATCAAATTTACCCTCAATGTTCGATTGCCACTAAAAATATTTCATGTTTTCTATTATTTCGAACAACAATGTTAGAAATTCAATTTTGATTTCGCCAAAACTAACCAACATCAATATTTTTATTTATTTGGGACCATAACTACATCTTAATATTTAACCCCAGGGGAATTGCAACATAACCTCTACATACGTACGTACATACGTATGTTCAAATTTCAATCATATGTCGTGAAAAATTGCTGATTGCGAACTTTATTTTTTCACAACTGCTGCAGAAAGTATTGTTTGACTTTTGGAGAAAAATCATTGGCAAGAACACAGAAAAATAATAGTGTTAAGCATGATGTTATATGGATACCCTACAATCAAATATATATTTATAATTGGCAAGATATTAAGTCATTTTTAAGGAGAAATCCTATAGAAGATCTTTTTTTTTATACCCTTCACCACACTGTGGTACAGGGTATTATGTCTTTGTGCATATGTTTGTAACAGGCAAAAGGAAACGAGATAGACACATGGTTCCTTTTGAGAATATGCATAGAATCACTTTCTAAGTCGATTTATGCATGTCCGTCCGTCCGTCTGTCCGGATTGTCCATGTTAAATTGTAAACAAAGTACAGGTCGCATTTATGATCCGAATTGGATGAAATTTGGCATAGGTCACTTATTCGGCCCAAGGACGCCAACCCTATTGAAATTGGGAAAAATCGGTTCAGATTTGGATATAGCTCCCATATATATATTTAACCGATTTAATGTGCTATATATCTTAATGATTTGCACCAAATTTGGTACAGCCTAATCATTTAGGTCTAGAATGATGTCTGCCAAGTTTCGAGAAAATCGGTCCAGATTTAGATATAGCTCCCATATATAGTTTCGACCGATTTCATGTAAATGGTGCCCCAAAATCCCTATATATCTTTTGATTTGCACAAAATTTGGTATAACGTGCTGAATTAAGCCTAGAGTGATGTATGCCAAGTTTGGAGAAAAAGATTTAGATATAGCTCCCATATATAGTTTCGTCCGATTTCATGTAAATGGTGCCCCAAAGTCCCTATATATCTTTCGATTTGCACGAAATTTGGTACAGCCTAATCGTTTAGGTCTAGAATGATGTCTGCCAAGTTTCGTGAAAATCGGTCCAGATTTAGATATAGCTCCCATATATAGTTTCGTCCGATTTCATGTAAATAGTGCCCAACGTCCCTATATATCTTCTGATTTGAACGAAATTTGGCATAACGTACTGAATTAGGCCTAGAGGGATGTCTGCCAAGTTTGGAGAAAATCGGTCCAGATTTAGATATAGCTCCCATATAGTTTCGTCCGATTTGATGTAAATGGTCCACCAAAGTCGCTAAATATCTTCCGATTTGCACGAATTTTGGCATAACGTACTGAATTGAGTCTAGAATGATGTCTGCCAAGTTTCGTGAAAATAGGTCAAGATTTAGATATAGCTCCCATATATAGTTTCGTCCGATTTCATGTAAATGGTGCACCAAAGTCCCTATATATCCTTCGAAAATATAAATTTGGCATAACGTACTTAATTGAGCCTAGATGATTTGCCAAGTTTCGTGAAATTTCCAGCATATAGCTCCCTTTTATTATAGATTGATTTTAAGTAATTGACGTACTAAGGAACCAATTGGAATAAAACGTTCTGAAAGTTGTATAACCTAACCTGTGACAAGTTTGTTTGAAATCGCTCAATATTTGGATAGAGCTTCCATATATATTTTCGCCCGATTTCAAGTAAATTGGGCATCAAAATCCTCATGTTAGTCAGATTGACATCAAATTTTGCACAACTTAAAAAATTGTTTTCTAGAAGTGCAGACATAGCCCAACGGATGACCTATTTATATTTGTTTGAAGTCGATTGACATACTTTATGGATAGATCTAGGTAGATTCACATTTAGATAAATATCACATTTTTTCATCCAATTTTATGTTATAGTCCTTCTTAATATACCCATAGTGGTGAAGGGTATCATATAGTCGGCCCCGTCCGACTTTACTACTTTCCTTACTGGTTTTTTTTGTAAATTGGTAATTTTGGATCTATGCTCGATGTAAATAATCAAAATTATATAAGCCTTAAAGGAATATATTAGGTTGGGGAAAAAGAAATCCATTATTTTTTCGACCACTTTTAACCGGCATGTTAGCAGTCGTAACATTGCCCAGGAGCTAAGAATTGACCTTAAAACTGTTATAAACCACTTACATAAAGCTGTATTCAAAAAGAAACTCGATGTTTGGGTGCCAAACCAATTAACAGAAAAAATATGATGGATGGAATTTCCATCTGCAAAGCCTTGGTCAAACGGAATGAGATAGACAAATAGAGATAGATGGTGCTAGAGATGAGAAATGGATCACATATGATAAACATGTGCGAAAACGATGAGCGGTGAAGCATCTCAAATAGTGGCCAAACCATAACTAACGGCCGGGAAGGTTCTACTATGCATTTTGTGGGAGTGGGATTGCAATTGACCAGAAACGTCCAGAATTGGCCAACAGAAGAGCTGTCGTGTTCCACCAGACAACGCCAGACACTACGGGAGCTTGGTCTGCAATGCATCCACGGGACTTGGCACAAAGCGATTATCATATTTTTCTTGCATTGCAAAATATCTTAATGATAAAAAATGATAAAAAAAAAGTTCTTTAATGATGATTGTGAAAATCGACTGCTAGAGTTTTTTTCCGATAGAGGGCAGGACTTCTATGAGAGAGGCGTTACGAAGTTACCTTTAAAATGGCAACAAATCATACAACAAAAACGGTGCATATTTGGCTCAAATCGGACATTCCGAAGCATGTTATAGTTCATAGTTCATATAAAAATATAAAAAAATTTACATGGAGAAGGCTATCTGACCAACTAATTCGAATGGCTGTGATGACAATGAACTGTCGATATTTTTGAGGAAAATAACAAAATTTTAATCTTATGGAGAAATTTTTTTACTCCGGCCAAATATGATTCAAAAAGATGCCGCAGAGGATCTGTTGACTTTTAATCGGTCAAGAGAGTGCAAATATCGCGAAATATTACCCAGGCTCGGAATATGGATCTTCACAAACATAGAGCTTGGTGATAGTTGTGTAGGATATCACATGGTCTGGTTTTATTGATTACTAGCATATACCCGCTACTTCGTTAGCGAATGTGAGAAGTATTTAAAACCTAATACCAACCAATATTAACACTTTTAGAATCGGTTAGTATCTATGTTCTCTTATAGTACTCAACCCAATACACAAATTCTGACCGCAAAAGAAATCTAGCTCTATACAAAATTTGGTGTCATTTTTTACCCTGTACTCTTTTTAAATATCCAAATTTCAAATATAGCTTCACCCAAGATTTCAGCTCTATCGGTTGTGCCAAATTTAGTACAAAGTACCAAATTTAGTACAAAGTAGTACCAATTTCTAAAACTTCCTACATACCCCAATCCTACACACCCACACTGATCCTAAATTCAAGTTTTAGGATTTCAACTCTACGGTTCACCCTCAATTCAAATTGTTGTAAATTTAGTACATAGTAGTACCAATTTCCAAATCTTCCTACATACCCCAATCCTACACCTCCACAGTGTTCCTAAATCAACATTTCAAGATTTCAACTTTTTCAGTTCACCCACAAATCAAATCGTACTAAATTTAGTACATAGTAGTTACAGTTTCCAAACCTTCCTACACCTCCACAGTGATCCTAAATAAAAATTTCAGGATTCCAACTCTATCGCTTCACCCACAATTTAAATTGCACCAAATTTAGTGCACTTAGTACAAAATTCTAAAAACCACCCCACACCCCTACAGTGATCCTAACTTCAAATTTCATTGTTCCCGCTCTATCGGTTCACCCAAATCCAAACTGTACCGATTATAGTACGATTTAGTACTTTTCATACACACAAGTAACAAATTTCCAAAACTACGTTCATATCCCAATCCTACACTCCAATGGTACTTTAAATTTCAAATTCCAGAATTCCAGCTCGATTTGTATCTCCGAATTAAATTTGTACCAAATATAGTACCATATAGCACTTTTCGTACACATGAGTACACGCTTTCAATTCACACTCCAAATTTAAAGTTTTTAGCGCTATCCGTTCAAATGCTACAGAATTGTACCAAATTTAATACATTTTCGTACTTTTCGTATAGTTATAAATACTTCGAATTTCCAAAAATCCTTTGGTACATCTCTCCCATCAACGACCACGAAACCAAATTTCAGAGTTCTAGCTCCATTGGTTCACCAAATACATATGGTTTCACATTTAGTACTTTTCCTACCGTTCTAGTACGCATTTCCAAAAACCCAGCCTTATCTGTCACCTTTGGACCAAGAGTTACCTCACCCAAATTTTCAAGATTCTAGCTTCAGCCGTTTCGTCTGCGGGTTGATGAATCGTTAAATCAGTCAGTCAATCATTTTACTCTTTTATTAGTATAGATTGGTTTTATTGATAATTTTATTTAGAATCCTTCTGATTCGTTTTGGGAGTATACCTAAGGGAGATTTTTGTTATTATCTTTTAGGCAACATTGCTGTAAACAGCTTACGCAAGTTTCGAATTTTTAACCATGAGCCGAATCTGTGTTAAGCTGAATTGCCAATTTTTTTTTAGAAGAGATTAGTCAGAAGCTTCTGATTGATCCCTTAGCACTGTTCTATTTCTCTTTATTATTTCTATTTTCTCTTTCATTCCCACTACCCACCGAAGGATCTGAAGCCTGCATTAAAGTCGACTCCATTCGATTTTTCTCTTTTTCACTTAAATTTCGATAATATTTTTGCTTTCAACAAACTTTTCGCCCCCATACAATGGAATTATTATTTTCTTCATGTATGTTTGTATGTTGATATGTGTGTGTGTGTTGCAAAAATAATAAATGCGGACATTGCTGAAATTTTCAATTGTTTTCTTTTCTACAACAACAGCTACAAGAACAACAAAATTGTTTTTATAACAAGAAAATGTGCTAACATTTGTTACCTCCATACAAACATACACACGCACACACACATTCATATGTTAGAGCATTAGACAAATAATATACATTTATGAGATTTTTCATTACTTTTTTATACGATTTTTTAAATTCATATATGTACATACATAGTATGTCCATCTGTCTATATGTGTGTATTTTAGTTGTTTGTGATTCATAAACTTACCATCCCAAATATGGTGGACAGGTGATGGATAAGGCTGTCACCCAAACGATAAATATCATTAGTAGGGCCAAACGTTTTGTCCGACGATTCTTGGAATATGTCAGTGGTTGGGTAACGGCCAAATATCTGTAAACAAACAAAAACCAACAACAATAGAAATATGAATTGCTAGAAAAATAAATAAACAAAGAAAAGTGTGAAATGTCATAGGAATTCCAGCTAGAATAATGTCCTTATAACCATGACCATGCCAAAACAAATCGAGGAATGCCATTAAAATGAAAGATAATCTTTGAGGTTATTTTTCGCCCCATACACACTGACGAACAGGGTTACAAAATTATGTGTATGTATATATATATATATATATATTCACCACCGTTTGAAATTGCCAGTAATTAAATGTTAGATTAAGTTAGGTTATGGTATACCATATATATGAGAGTGTATAAGTTGGAATGTAACCCAATCTTCTGGTAATTAATTTCCCTCCTTCTCGATTAGCTTTCAACCTTTTGGTATATAATTTTTTGAAGTGTCTTACATTTATATCCCAATTTTTGTTCCTTGTTTTTTTTTCATACCTGTCTAAGCTAATGGCACATAAACTCAATATAGATGCTGTGCAAAGTAAGACATCCAACGATATCCATATATCACATAAAATCCATCCAAGCGGCCAACTTCCTAAAAAGAAAAAAAAATCCGAAAAAAAATCAATAGGAAAAAATCATCGTTTCAAATCAATATTATTGATAAAAATTATCAAAAAGGTTCAGAGTGACTTGTGGTTCTGTAAATCGCCCTAATTCCAGGAATTAGTCATTATTTTCTAGTGGTATTTACAAAGTTAACCTTTCCAATTTAGTGGTGTGAGTGGGTAACCTTAACACAACTGCCGTTAACAGAAATTGTAAACATAATCGTTTTTTGTTCATATTTTTTTGCCGAATTGGGTGTTTAGCAAGGACATGTGTGAACAGTAGGCGAAATTTTATCACAATAATAACCAGTAAGGAAAGTAGTAAAGTCGGACGGGGCCGACTATATGATAACCTTCACCACTTCGGGTATATTGAACAGATGAATCCTAACAAACGTCACATTTTTAAAGGACCGGTAAAATGAAATTGGATCCATAAACATGTCATTCTGGAGCCGATATTAAATTTTTCATTTGGTCAGATATAGAAGCTATATCTAAATCTGAACCGATTTTCAGGAAACTTAACACACATCATTCTAGACCTAATTCATTACGCTGTGCCAAATTTCGTACAAATCGAAAGATATTAAGGTACTTTGGTAAACCATTTACCTTAAATCGGCCGAAAATATATATGGGAGCTATATCTAAATCTGAAACGATTTTCAGGAAACTTAACACACATCATTCTAGACCTAAGTCATTACGCTGTGCAAAATTTCGTGCACATCGGAAGATATATAGCGTCTTTGGTGCACCATTTACATTTAATAGGACGATAATATATATGGGAGCTATATCTAAATCTGAACCGATTTTCAGGAAACTTAACACACATCATTCTAGACCTAATTCATTACGCTATGCCAAATCGAGAGATATATAGGGAATTTGGTGGACCATTTACATTAAATCGGGCGAAAATATATATGGGAGCTATATCTAAATCTGAACCGATTTTCACGAAACTTAGCACACATCATTGTAGACCTAATTCATTACGCTGTGCCAAATTTCGTGCAAATCGAGAGATATATAGGGAATTTGGTGCCACATTTACATTAAATCGGACGAAACTATATATGGAGCTATATCTAAATCTGAACCTATTTTCCCAATTTCAATAGGTTTCGTCCTTGGGCCAAATAAGTGAACTGTGCCGAATTTCATCCATATCGGATCCTAAATGCGACTTGTACTTTGTTCACAAAAATACATGGACGTACGGACGGACAGACGGACATGCGTAAATCGACTCAGAAAGTGATTCTATGCAAATTCTCAAATAGAACCATGTGTCTATCTCGTTTCCTTTTGCATGTTACAAACATATGCACAAAGACATAATACCCTGTACCACAGTGTGGTGAAGGGTATAAAAACCATAGTATGAACTTATATTAAAAAAAAAAATAAAATCTGGAATGAAATTCCAGAATGCCAAATTACAGCCACTTCGATCAGAAAATCCAAAAAAATCATTCAAAGTATTGAAAATGTGGCTGAACCTTTATATGGTCTTATATCAAACTGTGGACCTATATCGAATATTTTCTGCAAAGGTTTGTTTTTATCCGAACGGAAAGCCACATTAATGTGTCTTTGGTTAGAAATGCGGCTAAAACCTTCAAGTAATATCGAATCAGAGGCAGGTAGTTTATATGTAAAACGACGAATTACAGTACATTGTTTTGAAATTGCATCTACAATTTTCTGCAAATATATTTTCTACTTAGGAAGAAGAGCAGAATGCAAAATTTTCTAAACCTCGAAAATACCGAAAATGTTGGATAGTTTTCATGGGGCTTTATCAAATTATAGGCCTATGTCGAAACATTTCTACAAATATGTTTTTAATCTTCCAAGAACACGAAAAAGTTTGTACTAAATACTTAAAAAATACCGAAAATATGTTAAGACCAATATAAGGGCAATGTTTAAAAATTTGGTCAATATCGCAAATTTTCTTCAAAAAATGTTTTTAATTCTCCAAAAACACTGAATTCCAAATGATCGGCCCATCCAATATATTTCCTTCTATATTTTTCATTAAATTCACCTTGTGTTTACTCCTTTTCTCCAGTTATTAATTTCCTGAATTCAAAACTGTCACATAAACCCCGTATGAACCACCAAATAGGATATATATGGGGAGGAAAGCCAAACCACATTAAAATAATTCCGCTATATGCAGCGAGATGTAGTTTTTTATTTCCATCAAACTGGAGACTACCTCAAATCTATATGCTACCTCAGTGATCTATAACAGGGACACAAACCACGAACCAATAATATTTGTTATGTGTAGATGTCACTTTGTTGTTAAAATGTGATTTTTCTTACACTCCGCATATAACCTATTCCTTTTTGTATGCCAACGATCTACGACACTTCTATTTAGATCATGCAATGGATTCAACCTGAAGTTATATTAGGTCTTCTATCGGTACTATGTATAAAAATTCTATGAAATTCATATTTATTTCAATGATTTTTATAAAGTCGGATGAAACTTCCTTCCTCCTGTACTGTTGATTCTTCTGAATAAAATTAGATAATATGTTTACTACAAACAAAAATTCCTCCACGTTCCTGTGTTCAGTTATAGTCCATAGCATTGCAATTATTCAGGTTCTTGGAGGCAGAACTTTTTCTATGTATATTTCTGCGACATAATTTGTTCTATAGAAAAAATTTAATTCTATAAAAAATGTCATTAGGCTTCATGGGGACTGATACAAATTTAAGGATATATTTATGCTGTACGAAAAAATCTTCGCAACAACGACTTTTTATATCTATAAACTTGTCGCATTCCATTCAATCAGTTTTTGTAAATTATGACAATCACAAAATAAACTCTTTCAACTATAGGAGTTTCTCTAGTTATAGAAGGAGTACTACAACACAAAGAGGTATTCGACATTGTAGATTAAAAAATTTTCTTCTATTAAAATAAATTTTTCTGCAGATTTACAATAAGGGGAACCTTTAATAGGGTTTCAATACTTCTAACAGACATATCAGCTATGCATATAAAGCACAGCGAAGACGCACACTAAATGTGAGCGGCACCCTGCGATATATGGTGAAGACACAAACCACATATAGTTAATAACAATATTTGTGAAATATGGATGTCGCTTTCTACATGGAACCATTTTTACGTCATATAACCTTGATCTCCACAATTATCCTACTCGCTTGTTTACATTTCGCTTATGTAATAGTTTTGAATCTTAGATTACATACACTTATTGAAAATATATACCATCGCAAAAAACTATAACAGCTATTCTACATATATAAAAGTTATTCGAAATATTTTCTATCCATTGATTATGTTCTGTAGGTCTGATATATTTTGTGAACATTCTACAGGAGAAACTATATGTCTTCATTAATTAGACGACTTTCTGTAAAAATAAGACCTTAGAAGGTATTAGATTAGATCTACTGAAGACATTCAGAATGAAATTTTATTGGCTCGGTCGGTCCTATCTAGGAAAATTCTTTTAAGAAGCTTATAAGATATACAAATAAGGCACTTATTCACAAAATAGTACGATAAAGTTGATGGATAAACCCGTATTCTCTATTTTCTCGTTTCGTAAGTCGTTTTGATGATGTATGTCTCAGTTACGCTCTCACACACTTACTCTTAATTTAGTTCTGTACAACACTGATATAAAGTACAGCGGAGACACACCCCAAATGTGAGTGACACCCTGTAATATATATCAAAGGCACAAACCATGATGATTTTTAAATGTAGGTGTCGCTTCGTGCAGGAAACCATAATTATGTCATATCTTCTTGTTTCCCATATATACCATACTCACTGGTTCATATAACCTTTTTATACTACAAATTTATAGATCTGGCCTATCGAGATGATCACCGAACTGATGTCGACTCTTTACACAATGATTGTACCAAAGAGTAAGATGTTTGCTATATATGTATAGAAGACTAATATATATCAACTCCTCTGGAGTTAAGTTGACCTATAGAGTACTTTTATTCACAGAAGACCTCTAGAGTTCTTCTGTAAATGGATGATATATAATGATTTTCTACTAGTATAAAGGCACAAATCTCTTCTATGCATAGAACATTAATAGATGTCCTCTCAAGCTCTACTCCAATTAGAATACTTCTAGAGCATTTCTATTGATAGAAGCTCTGAATATTTTCCTTGGATATTAAACTTCCAGAGCTCCTCTAAGATTCAGTGGATAATACCTCTAGCTGACTTTTATTCATAGAAGACATCTAGAGTTCTTCTATACAAAGAAGTCCTATTTTTATGCATATAAGATATCTAGAGTTTTTCTGTAAGTTCTCTGGAGCTTTTCTATCGATAGAAAGCCACTAAAACTGTTCAGTGGATAAAAGACTTCTGGAAGTCCTATAGAGTTCGGATTAAGACCTCTATAGCATTTTTATGCATTCTGTAAATAGAAGATATATATGGATAGAATACTACAATATTTCCTCTTCTTCTATTAATACCTTTATTGAATTTATGAAAATCCTCTGTCCCCCACAGTGTCCTACATAAATCATATAGACGCCAAGTGTTTATTTTTTACAAAACGAAATACTCACCCACAATATAAACCATAACGGCAGGTGGCATAACACAAGTACCCACCAGCCAATCGGTTATGGCCAAATTAAGGACAAAACAATTTGTCACTGTACGCAGTCGACGTGTTGTCAATACGGATAAAATCACCAGAGTATTACCGACCACAGTGACCAATATCAACAGCATAAATATGGCAACGACCAATGCCTTCGGCCATGCCATACCAATCAAATAGGAATCGACTGATGGTGGCGACGTTGATGTTGATATCATCATCATTGTGGTGGTAAAGGGGGAGGAGGAGGGTGAGGCGGCGACGGAGAACGGGGATGCTGAGAAATTGGAGGCAGTAACATTGATGTCAGTGTCGCTGGCTATATTTGAGATCACATATGAGCTGGGGTTACTGCTAACGTTCGTGGCTACTGCTGATGATGCTGCTGCTTCTGTCGTTGATGTCGCTGACCATGTGAAATTGCTTAGCAATGTCATGCCCGGAGTGACAGCCACAAAAGCATCTGGGGAATGTGAAAATCTATTACTGACATTCTCAACTGTGTTTATGGTCCGTTCCACTATATTGGTCACTAATGATGCCGATGATGATGCTGCTGATGACGGTGTGGGTAATAATGTTGTTGCTGCTGCTGCTGGAAATACTTTCGAAGACATTGATGCATTGGAGGCATAGGAGTTGTTGTGGTTAGAACCGGAAGATTGCCTTGGTGTTAGTGGTTGTGGTGATAAAACTAGATGTTTCTCTGGGCTATTAGAACTAAATGGCTGGAATGATGTTGAAACTGTTGTGGATTTAGTGTTCGGTATACTCCTTGCTGTCGTTGTTGAATAATGACCATGATGTCCACCGCCATCAGGACCACTACTCTTCTCGATTGCTGATGTTACGACTGCAGCCAATACCTGCTGTGTGGTAACCTCCAGTGTGCCATATAGTAATGGCCACCAAGGCAAATGCATTTGTTGTCCTGTCATAGCTGCAACGAGAGCGAATTGCTGGCAATTCCACTTTTCAAATGCACGCCGTCTTCATTCATTCACTCACTTCAGACATTGAAAAACAGTTGGAAATTATTTTCACAGGCAAATTGGCTGAGGAATCCCAGAGACATCGTCGTTGTTGCTGCCGCTGGTTTTGTAACCTTGTTTGTTGTGGCCAGGGAGGAGGTCGTGCAGGATGAGTTGCAGTATTTGTCTGTAATCACACTTGTTGTGGCTTTTCTAGTGAAATTTACCACAACTTCCGTTCCGTTTGTGGTTAACTTTGTTCTACTTCCGAACTTGTGTAGTTGTTGTTATTTCAGCTTTGTGGCTCATCGCTTTTTGCAAAACAATGGCACTTCTGTGTTTGCTTTGCCAACTCCTGCTAACCTGAATTTCAGTTTGAATTTAGACTTTTCATATCCCTTCGTCCTACGGTAATGACTTTGGATTTCTATTTTTTTTTCTAGCTGCTGCTTCCTTTGTATTGTTATTTACTTCTCATAGCAGCTGACCTAATACTTCCTGCTTGACTTACTCTAATAAAATTGTTTGACGTCTTTTTTTATGTCCTGTCGTTTTTTTTTTTTTTGTGGTTCCAAATGTGTAGTTCTTTATCTTTGCTATTTTTATGCCAAGCCGGAAATACCTCGTAACAGAAAGTGTGATTCGAAGAAAATGAGTAATTTAGTTAATTGGTTGCTATGCCAAGGATATCAGGATCATATATATACACTGTATTTTTCCAATTTGCTATTTTGTTTGACCTGCAAAGAAACGAAAAGGAGGAGGGGTTAACAATTTGGAAGTAATTTCAAAATAAGTTTTGAATTATAGAAATAAAACTATGGGTTCTGTTCGGAAAGTATTTTATACTGGTTTTCAAAATCTTGTTCCTTTATCTTTTTTAAAAAAATGGCGTTCCATATGCTTCCATTTTTAAAAATTATGTTAGCGTGGATTTTTTTAAGGATATTTTCAAGGACTAATTCCAGTATAAATTTAAAAAAATATATATAGCTTAAATCTAGGATCATAGATAAAATATTTCCATGGGTCATTTAAGACACACAATAAATGTTAGAATCACCCTGTGATATATATTAAAGGCACAAACCACTTATCGTTAAAGATTTTTGTGAAATATAGATGTCGCTTTGAACACGGAACAATCTTTATATGGTTAAGCCTTGTATCCCACAAATATCCTACTCGCTGATTCTTATCTCTGTCTCATAAGAGATTTAAATCTTAGATTGCAATCAAAATGCACTTTCGTGTTACTTTAATACAATTTGTTGAAAAATGTATTTTTCACATTTATATCAGTTATACACCTCAAATGCATCGATTTCGAGAAATCTTAATCCAAATTTTTGCAAATATCTTAAAAAATGGGAAATATTGCAACGAATACTTTCAAAATGCTGATACACGTGTCTTCTATCATAATTTTTTAATATTTCCTGATCGTTATGAAAAAAGTGAAATTTGTTGTACAGTGTTATTTATAGAGTATTCCTGAAGCCTATACCAAGCCACTTGCCAGGAGACCGGAGTATATATATTCTTGATCGGAATAAAATCTATATCGATCTCTTTTTGTCCGTTGACCCGCCTTGACCCCATAATATGGGAATTTTTTACACGTTTTCCAATCAAATTAGCTCTAATTAATTATTTGGATTAATTATTTCCGCACTTAAAATTGTTAGCCGAACCAAACATAAAAACGTTTGTAGTTGCTTTAAATAATATTATGGGAGCCTCTCCAGATCATATTTTTTAACTAATAATGTTCAAGCTTCTTCAGAGAATATTTGTATACCCTACATAACTATATTAGCAGGGTATTATAGCTTTGTGCAGCCCCAAGAGTTTGTAACGCCGCGAAATATTGGTCCTAGACCCACCTTTATGCATGCCGATCGTCATATCTCGACTAGCTGAGTCGATCTAGACATGTGTGTCCGTCCGTCCGTCTGTCCATTATAATTTGTAAACACGATACAGGCCACAGTTATGGACCACTCTTCACGAAATTTTGCATGTATGGGCCAATGAAGACCGCTATTGTTTTTGATAAAGATCGATTAATATTTAGAGGATGAATTGGACCAAATACTTAATTTTTGTCGGTTTTTCTGGTCGATCCAGAGGCCGCAATTATGGTCCGAACATCGCGAAATTTTACATGGACAAGGGAATCGGGCCAAAGAATAAGTATGCCTGTTCGATCGGTCAATATTTAGTGGGTTAAATGGTCCCCGACTTTTGTGTGAAAAATGACAATATTTGTATTTTATAGCGTATATATTTTCGCCTGAAGGATAGGAGGAGGAGGAGTGTTTGACCTTTAAATTGATACCAATTATATTGTCGTATGTACTCGGATGTGGGAGGTACACTTAAATATTTACAGGTGTTTACGTATTCATATATTATGTAGTAAGTCATTACCTCAGTAGATGGAGGAAATATAGCGCGAATCGCTTCGAAAATTACTATGAGGATACAAGTATGGTCAAGGACAACGCCTATAGTTTTCGGTGATGATCAGATAAAAATTTTGGGATGAAGTGGACGGAAAACTTTTTTGTTTTTTCGAATCGATCCATAAGCCGCAATTGAAAGCCGAACATTACAACACAACCCACTGTGAAAGAAATCTGGAAAAGTAATTAGAAGGGCTGTACTGAATTTTAGTAATAATAATATTTGTTGACCTCTAGTCGGTCAAGAGGGTGCAAATATCGCGAAGTATTGCCCAAGCTCACAATGTAGTACCACAGAAATTTAGATTTTCGTGGAAGTTGTACAGGGTATCTTGTGATCGGCCCCGTCCGACTATACTGCTCCGCTCACTGGTTTTATAATACCTTTGATGTCCTTATGAACGGAAAATGTCAATTTTTCAAAAGAATATTTTTATGGACCCTCAAAGCTATTATATTCCATATTTAATGCTTAAAATCCCTGGTAAAGAATTTTTTAAAAATTCGGTGCCAATCTCTCAATCTGCCTCAATGCATTTTCTTTGCCACCAATTCCAATTTGGGGTTTCACTCTGTTAACACTGCAATAAACTTGTATACATGTGTAATTATGACTTTTGATTGGAAACAAAATGTGAATTTGAAAAATGCGATGAAAAACATCAATTCACACACACAGACACACATGACCACAATTGGAGTGTAGCCAAAATTTGATAAAACCAAAAACCAAAAAAAAAGAACAAAAAGTTGTTTGGTTCGAATGCAATTGATTGGAAAACATTGCTTACAACAAACAACAACACAAACAAAAGTTTACCTTGTTTATAAGGGGATACTCTGCTTATATTTATCGCTGATATAATACCAATTGAGTTTTTCCATTAACAAAGTGGCATTAAATGGAAAGGAAAACTTTTTGGGGGGAAATTTAAACAAATAATAAAATTGTCATTTCCCAATAGTTTTCTCATTGACAAACAGATTAAGAACCCCGTTGGTTTTAACATGAAGAAAAACAGCTCGCATAGAAAAACAACCCCTTTAGCACCTCACCCAAAGACCAACTCACCATCTCTATTATAGACTACGTCCATTTCATCTCTTCTATTAAATGACCCCTTGAAGGACTCATTTTTATACCCTTCACCACACTGTGGTACAGGGTATTATGTCGTTGTGCATATGTTTGTAACAGGCAAAAGGAATCGATATAGGAACCATGGGTTCATTTTGAGAATATACATAGAATCGCTTTCTAAGTCTAAATTGTAAACAAAGTACAGGTCGCATTTATTATACGAATTGGATGAAATTTGGCACAGCCTGTTTACTTGACCCAAGGACGAACCCTATTGAAATTGGGAAAAATGGGTTCAGATTTAGATATAGCGCCCATATATATTTTCGTCCGATTTAAGGTAAATGGTGCACCAAAGTTCTTAAATATCCTTCGATTCACACGAAATTTGGCGTAGCGTACTGAATTAGGTCTAGAATGATGTGTGCTAAGTTTCGTGAAAATCGGTTCAGATTTAGATATAGCTCCTATATATATCTTCGTCCGATTTAAGTCAAATGTTGCACCAAAGTCCCTGTTTATTTTTCGATTTGCACGAAATTTGGCATATCGTACTTAATTAAGCCTAGAATGATGTGTGTTAAGTTTCGACAAAATCGGGTCAGATTTAGGTATAGCTCACATATACATTTTCGTCCGATTTAAGATAAATGGGGCACCAAAGTCCCCATATATCTTTCTATTTGCACGAAATTTGTCATTTGGTACTGAATTAGGTCCAGAATGATGTGTGCTGAGTCTCGTGAAAATCGGTTCAGATTTAGATATAGCTCCCATATATATTTTCGTCCGATTTAATGTACTTGGTGCACCAAAGACCCTATATATTCTTCGATTTGAACGAAATTTGGCATGGCGTACTGAATTGAGTCTAGAATGATGTGTGCTAAGTTTCTTGAAAATCGGTTCAGATTTAGATATAGCTCTCATATATATTTTCGTCCGATTTAATGTACTTTGTGCACAAAAGACCCCATATATTTTTCGATTTGAACGAAATTTGGCATGGCGTACTGAATCATGTCTAGAATGGTGTGTGCTAAGTTTCGTGAAAATCGGTTCAAATTTAGATATAGCTCTCACATATATTTTCGTCCGATTTAAGGTAAATAGTGCACCAAAGTCCTTAAATATATTTTGATTTGCACGAAGTTTGGCACAGCGTACTGAATTAAGCTTAGAATGATGTGTGCTAAGTTGCGTGTAAATCGGTTCAGATTTAGATATATCTCCCACATATTTTCGTCCGATTTAAGACAAATGGTGCACCGAAGTCCCTATTCATCTTTCGATTTGCACGAAATTTTGCACAGCGTACAGAATTAAGAGTAGAATGATGTATGTTAAGTTTCGTGAAAATCGGTTCAGATTTAGATATAGCTCCCATATACATTTTCATCAGATTTAATTTAAATGGT